GTCATCTTTATCGACTCTCCTATTAATTTAGTGAGGAACCATTTTTCCTTGCAGAAAAGAGAAATCAAGGGCAGAGATCATACTTCCTCTGGAACAGGTTTGTGCCCGTTTGACTATTCTCTATAGACACATTAAGGTTATGGAAAAAGAGAAAGAGTAACAAGAAAAGCCCAGAAAGGCCCTTTAGAAATCACGGAGCTGGCGCATCCTCTTGTTTCAAGACACTAACTCAACCTGACTCTTTTCTGAAAGACTCGAGCTAACATATTCTTAAAAATCCCAAGTGGGATTTTTAAGGTCATTGCTGTGCAATCAATCCAAGAGCTTATCTGCCCCCTCCGTAGAAGCTTTTCCTCATCTCCAACCCGAATCCTCCTAGCTTCAAATTGTGCTCCCTCCTTCCTGTCGCTCAGTCATGGGTCGCAGGAACATTCCTCCTTAATGAGCCTTTCACGTGTTTGAAGAAAACGATCATATCTCCCACCTGTCTTCTCTTTCCTAAACAACCCTGGTTCTCCAAGTCATTCCTCATGGCCACAGTTTCCATTCTTTTGCTCTTTTCTTGGCCTTCTCCCACTGACCCTCTCTCAGTTTACATCCAGTGGTGGCCCCATGCAGAAAACCCTCCTCCTCGGTAACAAGAAGTGAGGAATACCAACCTAGTGAGAGAGAATCTGTATAAACAGCCATCGTGTTCCATACAAAACTGAAGGCAACATGCAGAACTCCAATGGCCATCACTTCTGTGCTTCCCAAGAGAGCATTTAACTGCTCACCTGCTCCAACACAGCTGGGGAGCAGATTTTGCTCCCTTACAACAGTATTCTGTCTCCAAGCTGCTCTCCTGCCGAGGCAGTCCTTTAAACACCCGTGAGAGGAAACCATGTGTTCTTAACACCACTCTTCATGCCATCAGATAAGTCGGCTTACCTGGTTCACCCGTGGGGATCTACCAGTCAAGCAGGACCTAGCAGGCAGCTGTTCCCCTGGCGCTGGAAACGGAGCGTGTGAAGCTGAGCGTCCAGCTTTCCAGATTGATATAAGCATTGCCTCTGAAAATAGTTCAAATGATAATAAATGTAAGTGCTCTGACACCGTACTCAGTAACTCCTAAAATTAACAATCCTAGGTACTAGGTAAAGGCTCTGAAGACAAGAAATGTTAAAACTGCTTCCTCTGGATTTCTGTAGCGTCAGGGCATGCTAGGAGGTTTTTACGTGAGGGTTTTAGCTAAGCATAAGTGCAGTTTCCTTTACTTCTTGCTGGCGCTACATGTGCTTGAAAACAGGCAGGGAGCCGGGGGGACACAGCCGTGCCCGTCACCTGCACCAGCCACTGGTGCGACCTGCAGCTGCTGCAAGGAGAGTTGGTGGAGAAAGAGGGGGGCGAGAGACAGTCACAATTATTTTCATGAAATTCCATTTCTGTTTTTCAGCGATGTTTTCTGATCGGCTCTAGCAGCAGGGAGAACACAGAGCCCTGGGCGGAGTACTGACAGATCAGTGAAGGAGGATTTACATTTTTTAAAACTTGTACTTGTCGGTATTAGGTACCCACACGCATAGCAACTCATTCTGCACTTCCCAGCAATGATTATCATCACTTGTTTTTGCTAAGCTTGGGACACTATTTATATAACTTTGCAGCTTCTGCTGTGTACTTCTGAGATCTAAAATAAGATGCCGAAAAGGGCCCGTAAGTTAAGGAATTACGGTGCAGGCTTCCCAGCTGCGGGAGCCTCCCTTTCTGTCCCTACGCTCCCGGCATTCAGTTTCATGTGCCCTAACCCCCAGCAACGCCAGGACAGCTCCGTTTATGAACACATGGCTTGGGGTAGCCCTGCCCGCAGCAGCGCACGCACGAGCCAAGGGAGCTCATGGGCACCAAGCAGTTGCAGAGAAGCTTTTAGGCTCGGTCTAATGTTTCTTAAAATGTTGAGAACAGCCGAATTGGAACTCAGCTCTGCAGGGAAGAAGGAAACAGCCACCACAGCCCCAAGCAGCTGCTGTTCCAAGGGCTCCCTACGTCGTGGTGGGGCTTTTCAAGATGCGGTTTTGTACAGCAGTACCAAAACGCGCAGTGCAGGGTCACACTGACACGCGGCTGGGACGTGCTCGCTCGGTGACGCTCCCACCTCACTATTTACTGTCATTTTAGGCGCAGCGGGCACCCAAGGGCGCTCCAAGCTGACGACGCTCGTGCTGTGGCTCTGCGGGATGGAGCGCAGGCAGGACGGGCCCGACCCCGCAGTGCCGGCCAAGCCCGAGGCGCCCGCGGACGCCGGGGAGGAG